CTCCAAATTTCAGGTCCACATTCAGTGGTGTAAGCGGTGGGTTGATCCGTCAGTCATTTAGGACAAAAACCTTTATTTATTAGATGTGGTAAAAAGAAAGCTATTATTTTTTCAATAGATGTATCTCGCGTTTAAGTCCGATCGGGTTCCGCTAGATGTCGTTAGAAACATGAAATTTCGTACTAAAAAAGCTTCTCTGACAGCTTTGTTTGATTGATTTTGTTTTGTTTGAGTGTGCGTCAAAGATTGAAAGAGAAAATATGCTCTGTTTTAGAGTTTTTCTTTGACAAGGGTGAAAACGCTGAAAATGTGAATAGCGATCCTGATACAGTTATATTCAATAAAAAAGTTGCTAAACGGAGTGGAAGGTCTATTGTCGAACATTTCGATGAAATCATGGACATTGTCGAGTCCGACCATCATGTAAGCACTATTCCGATTGCCCGATTGCCGATTGTAAAAATTAAAGCCTTCAATTTCATGCAAAAATAATGGATTTCTTTTAAAAATATATAGATGTTTTCTACATATAAAAGCATTACAATTCTCATGCTAAATTTATGTACCCCGAAATACATTTTTTTGATTAGTATTATCCTGCAGTTGTGTTGTTCGGAGAGTTTCCTAAAGCCTTCAATAGAGAGTGAAACTTCTCTGTTATGACATTGGATATTAGACGCGATAACAAATGAACGGCGAAACAGGGTCTGATACAATAAAGCATGATTCCATTTCCAATAGGGATGTATGTATTAAGTGCATAACAAGCATCGGAATGACGATTTTCAATGGATTTAAGGTGTTGAATTTGTTCACATCATTAAAAGCATACACGAAATGCTTAAATTACCCAATAAACATAAGAACAAATTCTCAAAAGTTTGTTAGGGACAAAGTTAAGAGGTTGAACTTGGCATTTGAGCTTAAACACTCTTGCATATTATGTAAAAGCCAATATACTAGCAAAAAATTGAATTCTGTTTCCTTTCCAAAAAGGAGTCTGTTTTTCTATGCTGTGGGAATTAGCACTACTGTTTGAGTACCAAAAACGTTTCAAGTTGATGTTGAACAAAAAAAGGCTTGCTGGGCATATGAGCTTCTAATACGTATGTATGTGCGCTTGTGTTTACTGTTACGATGATGTTAGCACGTTGATGCATTTTTACTACTTGCATTGCTTTACAAATTTCAACCACATTCAAACGAGGCCAAGACATATGAATATTGATTTCAATACCATTCCGCCGCTTGCCTTTTATTTCCTTTATTACCGGATTTGGAAAATGAGCTTTGAACAAGCCTCTTATTGGCACCTTTTCATTGAATACTAACTACTGATCGCTTGATAGTGTGAAGCAATTTGATATTGGTTTGAAGGAAGGAAGGAAGGCGGTTAAATTGAAAATTCGACAAAGCTCAGAATTTTTGTGTTCCATTATTCTTAATACCACATTCACCATAAATGGTAATGGGAATCTTTTTATATTTAATTTAATTATTAATTATTAAGTGCCACTGTGGTCAAGATATTTTTTTGTTCACTGAAAGAGGGATAGATATTTAGATAAAATAATACAAGAAAGAAAAGCTGTCTTTAGCCACTCCAGTCTTTATCCTTTCATGATCATACCAAATTTTTGGTGTTTCATTTAAGGATTAAATGTGAATACATATATCCGAACAAATCAATTATATGATGCTTGCACCATGAAGTTTTCCGATTTCGAAAATTTCTACAATATTACGTAAAGAGAATATCAAATTTCACGCTCTGAGATGGTTTGTTTTTAGGGATTTTGTCCCAAAGCCTCATACTGGAACAAATAGTTTGTATGAGAGCTATATATTCTTCCGATTTCGATGATTCTTCCGATGTTGATGTTGATGAAGTTTTTACAAAAAACCTCAAATCTGAACAAAACGATTGTATGGTGGCCATATGCCACAATGCTTATTCGTACATACATATATGCGTAGATTATTTAATTCTATGCTTTTATATGATATTTGGATAATTTTTGACCCACTACTTTATATCTGAACAGATCAGCCGATTTCTAAAAATCTCACGAATATATATACATAAGTCATAGTGTTCTGATCTGGAAGGCCCCGACAATTAATTGCAACAGTGGACCTGGTGTATCAAGTTGAGTAGAAATATCAATAAAACTGAGGAACTAGTTTACGTACAAAGCAGACGGACGTGACTAAATCAACTTATTCCGTTATCCTGCTAAAGCTTTGCTTACATGCTTTGAACATGTACATATGTATATAAAAGTCTGAATTGGGAAAAAGATATTTAGAAATATGCGAAATATTCACCCTTTTCATACATACATACATACATATATATAGACACTTTTAAATTATAGTGTTAATACTATATTCAGAAATTTGAGTGTTCTTTCAACAACACAAATCAATAAAATTCAAACAGTGCATAAGCAAAATAATATTTCAAATAGTATATGAAAGCAAATCGAAAATTTAAAGCTAAAAAAGCCTTGCTATACGGTTTTATCTGTTATACCAGAAGTTACTTATAATCTTCTTACATACACACCGCAGCACAACAATCAAAGCTGACCTCAATTTTTGTTTAGTCGCTAGAATTAAAGAGCAAATTAAAAGGACTAAACAGAAGCACAGCAGTAATAACAACAAATACTTTGACGGCCACTGCGCAAGAGGTGAACAGGAAGAACTTGAAATCATATCGAAACAACATGAAGAGCAACAAAGGATGCCAGACAATATAGACATGGAAATCTCAATTTTATTCACTGCCGCCACAGAGTCACACTAAGCATTGTGTGATAGGCTCAGAGTTGTGGGTAACAAGCAAATAAAAATGAATGTGATGTTTATGAGCTTTCGTGTTCACATATGCATAAATAAATATGTTACAGTAACAAAAACTTGACGGAAAGTGTTATTAACCATATACAGTCATAAATGTCGATTGTACATGTGAACGCTTGTGTGTCAAAATTGGTGTGCTTGTTCGAAGGCAAAATAATCGCCATCGATTAAAAACGGCGCTAAATTTTCATACACATGACACCTCTATGCCATTTCACAAGATAAATCCTTTGCCGATTTTCATATTTTGTGCCTATAATGAATAGATATGCTTGCAGATATGAATACTGCGACAATGGATTGGATGAGATGTAACATAGAATCATATTTTACATTCAATTGAACAATACGAGTGGCGGAAAATGTGGCAATTATTTGGCAGCCATATAATTACATAGGAGTATGCACGTCGCCTATGAGAAAATACCTTGTAACACAAACAAAAATTACTTTTTTTTTAAATATGTAAAATTTAATATCAAAAATTTTTAGCAATTGAAAACGCTACGACTCACTAACATCCAACAACAATAATTATAAATAATAAATCCTCTTTATTCAAGAAATATTTTTTGGAGTTTTTAACTTATTTAAGTCTAAATTTGAAAAGCCTGATGAAATTATAAAAAGGTGTGAACAATAGCTACGTGATTACTGTAAATTTGAAAAAATCTTCGGTCATATTGGCAGAGTTACTCGCTCTTATGTAATTCACTGAAAAATACTTGGAAAATGGTACTAAAAGTATTTCGTTCAAGTAAGGGTTTTCCAATAAGAAGTGTTATTTTTAATAACCTAATTTTCCGGTGGACGTCGCTATTACTGACATTTGTAAAATAAAAACTAAGTTACACACTTCAACAACGTGTTGAAATTAAAATTAAAATTCACTATAATAATTTTATCGAAAAATCATCTGATGACGGATGAAGCCCATTTCCATGTTGAGAAATACGTCAATAAACTAAACTGTGGCATCTGGAGCACGGAAGACGCAAGATTTATTGTTGAAAGCCTTTCCATCCTCCACGTGTAACTGTTTGGCGCGGTGGTTTATAGTCTGACGTAGTCATTTATTATTTATTTTTTTGAAAATTAGGCTGGAGCAACAGTTACGGTGAGTGAGTTGTGCTATCGAGAGATGATTAATTTTATCATGACAGCTATCGATATTTTAAGAAAAAGTCCGAGACCGATCGATGAAGTGATCGCAATAGAACATCTTGCGATTTCCACCTGTGGGGTCACGTCAAAGATAAGGTGTACGCTAATAGGACCAAGTCAATTAAAGACCTCAAAGATGGAACTCATGAAGTTATTGAGGTTGCACAGCAGCAACTTGGCAATTTGGTGATGGGAAATTTCATAAAAAAAGATACGGCGCTCTAAGCTCTGCCGTGGCGGCCAAATGTTTTTCCTTTATTAATGGCAAATCTGTTTAAAAAAAAAAGTTTTAAGAATTATTTCACAAAAAAGCCCAGAGAATAAGCTCCAGGTAAGTGAATTACAAATTTTAAGTATAATGCGGGAGTGAAAGTTCTTGGCAGGATAAAAATGCATGTCGTTCCGATATAAAGACACACTTGTCGCTAGAACTATTGCATTTTAGTCGCCTCTTATGACAGGTATGCTTTCCCTCGGCTAAACTCTTGAACCCCTAACCCACAGACAATCAGTGATTTGGGCTGGGATTGATATGATTAGTACAAAGCCTTTTATATATAGATATATGTATATACTGGTAATGTAGCCACTGTAACTACTTTCATAGAATAATATACATCTTTCAGGTTAATATAAAAATTTAACGGTAAAAAAACACCAAAATAAGACTACGAAAAAAGAAGGGAGTCTTCCGATATGTCGTTGACAGCAATAACAAAGAAAACTGTAAACATGTTTACGAAATCGCCTTCCCTTAATTGAGTTTTAAAATAATCTTTAATCTCAAACTGCAATTCAATAAGAATTCCAACTATTTTGGCACTCGTAGGCCCGTTGTTCAACAATTTATGATGATATTGATTTGAAACCCAAGAAACCGCCTAAAAAACTAATATTTTGAAATTTAATTATATTATGCCTTCATAATATGTATATGTAAATAAATATAATAAAAAGATAATACTTACTTTGCACATGACATAATCCCACTGAAAATTGCCCCAGTTCTGGCATTTGTCTGAGTATCTCCTCTGTGACTAAATGAACACCTCGATGCTGTGGTCGTAAATTAATTTTGCGTTGAAACCACGCCGAGCCAATTTGTAGACCCGAACTACCGCCAACACCGCCACCACCTCCACCACCGCGGTGATTGGACGATGCCATTGTGCTATTGGACGAAGAACTGCGAATGTTGCTATTGCGGCTCGCACTAGTCTTTATGTTGTGACCGCTTCTAGTGTTGCTTATAATGTGCTGTTGCTGTTGTTGTGGAATAGTGCTACTATGACTTCGCCGCCCGCTACGACTACGTGCACCACCACCGCCGCCGCCGCCGCCACCACCACCTACACCTGTTCCTCCTGTCCCCACACCAGCACCAGTGCCTGCACCACCACCACCTGATGACGATGGGATCGCCGTTGTTGTCGTCGTTGCCGTTGTTTTAGCAGCAGGTGACGCTGCCGCCGCTGCCACTGTTAGCACTTTACTTGATCGGCGACCACTTGGTGTCGGCTCTGTAGCAGCAACAGTTGCTGGTGTTTTTGTTATTGTATTTTTATTCGACGTTTTGGCAGTAAAATCGCTTCCAAATATTAATCAATTTACTTGTCAATTCTTAAAATATTGTTTGTTTTTTTTTCTTTCCTTCCAATGCAAGCAACCAAATGTTGATTTACTTATAATTTGCGTAGCAACTCGATTTATGCTGCTCGAGTATATGCTGCTATGGATTCTGTTTCCATTGCTTGCCCAAATTTATAGCAGAGTTGTCTACTGCAAGAGCAATCGTGACTGTGCACGGGCTATCGAAATCTCTTGCGCTTTCTCGATTTGTATTCGCAAATATACTATGCAGCAAACGTTTCCACTTGAGTTTATTGCATTCTGGTTACCACACTGAAATCTATTGGGAGAGCATCTGAAATTAAAGAAAAATAGAAATACATACATACATACTATGTCATTCAAAATAATATGTGTATTGAATGTGTACATGACTTGATGGCTAGAAGCTATATATCGTTATGAAAATGTAGAAGAGCTTAACTGAAATTTTACAGATTTTTACTTTATAAGAAAAAAATTAAAGTAGTGTTTGAGCTCCAGACGTTTTTTTATTTTTAAAAGAATTTTACTTTACAAACGTTGTTAAAAGTATTATTATTCGGATTTAAATTTTAATAAGACCAATTTATATTATTTTTAATACAAAAATATTATCTCAGCAAATTTCAGTTAGGACTTTTTAGCATTTCGGCACCTATATGTATACTAGAAAACATTCAATTAGGCTCACATACATATATTATATATACTGTAAGGCAGAAAGACAAAATGTTTATATTTAATGAGATCCATAAGCTTCAAATCCCAATTTGATGTCCGATTGTTTATTTATTGATATTTAAACAAAATCGCTTGTCATTTTACTAGATCTGCACATGCATACATTATACATATCTACAATAGAATTCAAAGGATATGTAAATAAATAACGAATTATGGATAAATTAGTATTAGTTTAAGTAAAATGAGACTGATCACAAACACCACACATTCAATTAGGCTCACATACATATATTATATATACTGTAAAGCAGAAAGACAAAATGCTTATATTTAATAAGATCCATAAGCTTCAAATCCCAATTTGATATCCAATTGTATATTTATTGATATTTAAACAAATGATCTGTACATACATACATTATTCATATCTCGAATTCAGAGGATGTGTAAATAAATAACGAATTATGGATAAATTAATATTAGTTTAACACCATACTCAAACACCATACATTCAAAAAAAATATTTAAAGTTTTGAGAATAAGTAATGCGTACATAAAATTATTACTCGCAATGATTACTGTCTGCCTACATTACGTACAACGTGTCAAGGAATATAAATTAGGTGATTGAAAAGGTGATAAAAATTCATTTGTTTTAATAATATTAAATTAGTCTTAATAATATTCGTTTCGGTTTTACGTCATTTAAAAACTAGGTACTGAATCGCAAGGTTTTCTGTTGGTTTAATAAAGACTTCGCATAACATTAAAATGTTATAAAGGGTATAAAATGTACATATGTAGCCTACATTGGTAAAAACGATGCGAAATTTTATTTATTCAATTGATAACCTAATCGATCCCGAATAGTTATTTGCACTCTTTTTTAAAATATATATGTACATATACATATGTATATACGTAGATATACATGTAGAAAAAGCGTGAAACCGAGTAGCATAACTGGTCGGTATAGAAATATGTTGCTCTTAACTCCTATAATTTTCTAAGTATTTTTTACTTTACCTATTCTATTTAATAAGAATTCTATAAGACTATCTAGGCAAATACATATAATTTTATTAATCGTGGTAATATTAACCCAGAACACTACCATACTTAAATAATATGATTATACATTCAATCCATACTTAGGTATATATGAATAGATGTATGTACATACATATGGAAAACTGATAATTTCTTGAAAATTGTTTAGAACAAAAACTGTGAAAATTCTGGTGTTGGTCATACAATGTCGTTGCCCTTTTAACCCTTCCTTTCATTCAGAGCACCTAGGATAGTACTAGTACACAAAATAAAAGAAAACACATGCAAAATGTGTAACAATGCCATCAACCGCTGTCTATGCTTCAGGCACTTGCCGTAAATGCAAATTCGTGCCTTATCGCCCTAATTGCCATTTGCTGCTACATTAGCAGTGGCTCGAGTACCAACGAGCTAGCTCCTTGAAGGAGTTCCGACAAACTAATGCATGCACAAAAATATACACACGCGCACTGCTTGTGGCAGTAATGACAGAGGACCAAGCACGCCACTCAGGCAAAACGTACAAAAATCAATTTTCTACAAATGAGCACAGTGAAAATTCATATTCTTTATAAAAAAAATACTAGATCCAAAAACAATTTAGTTACAAATATTTAACCACATGACATATGATATTCCAATGGAAAAACTTTCATCTTTACAAAATTCAATTATTTTTTGTTATGGTCCAAGTATGTATGGATATATAGCTATGTATGAATTAGGTCTAATTCCAACACAGCTAGCTGGATAGTTTTCTAACTCTCTTCACAATTTATCAAACACATAATCCACAGAATTTTTGTTAATTATTGACATAACATGTACGCGGTCACCGCACGCCACGTACACACACCCGCACAAATCGACATACCGACACACCGACAGTCAGTCAGGCGACAAAATTGCTCCAATACATTATGAAATGTCAATTACTTTCAATTGAAAACACACTTCAATTCACAACCACTTGAACCAAATTACCTTCAATAAGATTGGAAAAATTTTCTTATTATTTGCCAATTGAAGTAGAAAATATTAGCACATTTAGATTTTTCTTCGCGACCAACTGACACAGTATTTGACAGTTCTGAAAATTCGCAAATTCTTCTTTCATTTCCATTTTATACTGTTATTTCTTGTTAATCAGCAGCAGAGAACGTAAATACAACGAGAAGGTTCAGAGAACGTAATTTTGTTCTCTGGTGGAAACTGTCAAATGAGCCATAACGCTATGAGAGTTTTTTTCACCACTACCACAGAAATTAACAGAGTTTTTTACAGAGAACTTAGAACTTATAAAGCAAAAATATGGTTAGATTAAATTTATGAAATGTAGTGATAAACTAAAATGTGTATGAACTTACACTAATATGTACCAAGAAAGTACTGAATTGTGTCAAGAAATATATATCTACATACATATTTGTACTTATGTACGTGTATACATGCATATGCAAACAATTTCAAACTGATTATTTGCATGTAAATATACTTCACTGGCACTATCCCTCTAAACGCTTCTCACATCCAAAAGGTTGAAATTCTAGTAAAATCCAACAAATAAATTTTCATTCATAAATGTTACTGAGCAGGTGCCCCTGCATAAGCGAGCCTACAAGCAATAGGAAAAATTCGAAAACTCAAAAATCAAAAATGAACAACCTGTAAAAACCACTTGGGATCTATTCAGATATTCAAATTTGTCTACTCAAATGAAAAAACCGGCATTCTGTTGCTAAATTTTTTGTTCGCCTATTAGCTCATATTGGCTAGTAAGAATTTGCTTGCCTTTCCGCCAGTGACTTTTCCTCAAGCTGAGTTGTGTCGACGTTGACGAAATTCTTAAATTTTTATCATATTTTTCAGATTTTAGTTATCATGTTTTAACATCGATTTTCTCAATTTTCATACAATTTTACTCATTCTGCTATTTTGAGGACGGCTTCTGCCTGCTCACTGTCAGTTTGTGGTGAGATACGCTCATAGATTCCTGGGTGAAAAACACACTAATGCGTTTCTGGTAGACGAACTAGTTGGAACGAATTGATAATCGGCACGCGCTGGTCTTCTGTTCCAACGAAATTCTCCAACGAGTAAGTAAATCAACGAGCACATTTTCGAATTCGCTGTCGCAACTAATACAGTGTTCTATTTCGTTTTTATATACATTACATAGAAAAGAACTCAGGAACATGAAAATTTGAAAATATCGTTCGATATTCGGTTCCCTTTTTTATGCATCAGAAAACAAAACCATGAATTTAAAATAACACACTTTGGAGCGTCCATAAATAATGGAGGTTTAATAAATTGGTTTAATAAATTGGTTTATTTGAATGGGCTATCACTAAGGATTTTTACCGCAGCTGCAGCGACGAAGAAGAGGAGAAATCATCGGGCACTATCCTTACATTTTTTCGACTGTCCCTTCGAGATAGTCTAATTAGTTAAATAATATTTGTTAGTAGTCAACAATCATTTAGACAGATAGATTGTATTTAATAAGTTATAAATAAACTATTACTAATTAATCATTTTTTATGTATGTTTATATATAAAATATATGTACTAAATAAGGGAATGTCAACCTCTCCTAGGGTATTTCTGTCATGAAATAATAGCTTCTCATAAAAAAACATCAACCGTTATGAGGTGGCTTAGTATAAACTGTAAGTCCCTCCATTTGCTGAAAAAAGACGCATACCTCAAATTGAAGGAGAAGCTTGGCCAAAAATCGCTTCAGCGGTCACAAAGTGTTAAAGCAACTTCAAAATCTTGACTATCACTAAACTCTGATATGTGCATATGTATGTACTTATATATGTAAATATTTATGCATATCCTTCGCACCAGTCTTATCATGTTCCTACACTAAATCAAGGAGAATTCTACAATATGAATTTACTACAGCAGCGAATTTGAGTTTTTTTCATCCATCGAGGGTGACGATTGTCAAAATTATTTATCACATAATTTTTTGTTTATTTGAATTTCATTTAACTTTCTATTTCTAACGAAAAAATCTTAAGAATTGTGATTTCATTTCATTTCATGATAGCGGTTTTCGCGAAAAATCGTAGGGCGGAGGGTTTGTACGTTTAAGTCATTTAATTTTTCAAGATTTTAAAAGTCGTTACGCTAAAGCAAAAACAAAACACACGGCATTGACTTGCTTTTGTTCTCCTGCCCTTCCATATTAATTCGCCTTGGGCAATAAAATAATAACTTAGTTCGGTGAGATATGTGTGTCAATAAGAATTAGCTTTTTCGGTGCAAATTTTACTGTTTTTTTGCATCACCGAACGCGATTCAGTAAATTTCAGTAACAATAGTTACTCGCCGAACAGAACTTACACCTACGGTTGTATATAAGATAATGTCATATTTATATTGATTATTAAATATTTTCTCGTATTTTGCTAACATATGAGTTCAACAAAAACATAGCAACAAATTTGGTATTTAATTAGAGAAAGGGTCAAAAAGCACGAGGCCGATGGCAAGACTGGCTTTAATATCTAAGATGCAACTCTACAAAGTGGCCAAAACCAAAAGTTGGTCACCTCTTGCCTTTTTAACCGAGTTGACCTTTAACTAAATTTGATATATGTATATTTATTATTTTAATTTTTTCGGGGGTTATAAAGAATTTCAATTGAAAACTTCAAAATAAGTTTAAACATTGCTTAAAATAACAGATTTATTACTTTTTGTTAAAAAAAATCTTCGCCAAGGACTTTCAACCCATCAGGTCAACCCAAAAATATGTAGCTAAGCATGAAATTAGTTCCGTTCATTAAAGTGACTTATCATTACCACGGGATTCAGTGTTTTGGAATAGTCGCAAGATTGTTAGAAGGGATCTTCATCTAAGCTGATAAGGCGCTAAACTATGTTTATCAATTCGTTGCAATCATTTTTCCTAAACAAGAATTTTAATTTATATAAATTTACTTATCAGGTGATTACATTAGGTTAATCATATAGCTGATAGCACGTTTATATGAAGGTACCTAGAGACAATTTTTGATATTAGATACGATTTGCTACTCACTAATGCAGACTATCGACAATTCGCGGCGAAAAATGAATACAGACGATCAACAGTAATCATTATTCATTATCAAACGATGAACATGCCGTTGAATATAAAATTAATTAAAGCGTAATATGCAATAGTTATTTAAACAATGGAATTGCTCTTGGATAAAAATTGTTTTCTAATTATTTACTGATTGCAACGACCACCAACAGGCCTATTCTGTCGAGGTAGCAAAATTTACTTTGGTATTAAAATTTACCATTAGATAAATTTTGTAACCATTTCGTATTCTGAGTTCACTGTCACCCTGTAAATTTTGTTACCATCGAAATAGGATGTAACAAAAAAAATCTGCTGTTTGATTTTGTGAAAAAATAAAAACCAAAATCGGTAGGCATATTTTAGGCGTGGAATTCATTGAAGATGAAGAAAAAAGTGGAAAAAAGCGTATGCTAAGAAGTTGCGAGAAAAAAATTACCCTTTTAATTTGGCAGATGGCGTTATCATTCAGCTTTTCTTTTGTCGTTTAGGCACTTTTTCCCAAATTAGGTTCAAATACTTATGATTTAATAAACAAGTAAATAAAACGTATTTATTTTGTTGTGCACCGAAATGGAAGTTCCGATGGGAATATTCTTCGTTTTTACTTTACCAAAGGGAAAATGTAATTTGACCAGGAAGAAAAAAGCAGTGCTGCCAAAGTTTTTTCAAACATAACCAGCTCGCGAGAATACCAAATTCAATTTGGGGTGTTAAAAAAAGGTAATAAAATTTACTTTACCGGTAACAATAAGAATAGGCATACATATGTACTCTATTTCTTAAAAAGTTTTTTTTTATGTTTGCCCTAAACTTTAATAAACTCCCATAATAAAAAGAATATTAAAATAAAAAAAATTTTTTAAATTTAATATTTTATGACCTGCTTGACACTTGAGACTTGCGACTCGATACTGCTGCAAAGATGACTAGATACGAAACTTACTCAAAATCACTCAAATTGCAGCTGAGAGCGTTCCCCCATCTCACATTCTAATGTTGGCAGCAGTGTCAGATCGGGGAACATTCAACATCTGATGTGCAAAACGCACCAGTGCCACTATGTCAATAAAAAATCCATTATTTTTGTTTCAAATGAAATTTGCTTCAGCAGTAAATATTTAAGAAATTTTTGTAATTTTATTATGACAACTTCATATAATTAAATATTGAATTGTTTCTTAATAAAATATTTTAGTGAAATTGCAATTAAAGACGCCGTTGTTTGTAATAAAATACCCAAAATATACCTAAAAATCCAAGAAAGTCATTTTTCTATCACAGTGGCACTGTTCAGAAATGTTATAAAAAATGCGGATTTTTGAGCGCTCTCACGGAATAAAGAGTTTCGTATCTAGTCATCATTGACTGCTGACTGAATACTGTATCATACAGAAACTATAAAGCATTGTACAGCCTGCAAAGTAAAAAAGCTTGGCGTTTGTTTTCGATTTGAGCGCACAGCTGTGATCACCTGATCAATTTTGTTCCTCATTTCAGTTGACGTTCGTAACATCCGGTAAAAGAAACCGATTCGTTCTTTATCAAAACAAAAATTGAGTAAAAGTATTTTATTGGCACTACAAAGATTAAAATGATTTACCCAGCTCTCGCGAATGACAATCGAAATGAGAAACGAAATCGATCAGGTGATCACAGCTGTGTTGCTCCAAAATGGAAACGAGCCTCATGAGCCTAGATGATTTTTTGATGAAATTTTTCAACTGAAACGTATATCGTTTACCGGAATAGCAGGCTAGTCAAATTGGAAAATCCTTTCATTGGTTAATTTTATTGAAACATTTTTGAAGCAAACTGAATTTGCTGTAACTTTCTTATAAGCTGCGTTTCTCTTCCACTAGTGACACAACGCCGGCTTGCTTTACATGCGTTGACAATGTGTGACTTTACTTTGACTTCTTCTACACAAAAGCTGCTGCAGAGTATAATTTTACTACTTCCACTTCTGTCGGCCAAAAATATAATAAATATTTTATATATTTTCCAGGATTTTTAATTCTTTTGTATACATATATTAGAATTTCTTAAGTTCATCGATAATGTTGCTTTGTTAAAGTATGAAA